CCCAGGCAGGTCTCTAACCCGCGGGCTCAGGCAATCCACTCACCTCAGCCTCCCAAAGGCCCGGGATTACAGGCTGAGCCACTGAGCCCGGCTGAGACTCTGTATTTTTAACCAGTTGCCCAGACCATTCTGATACACTTTAAATGTTGAGAATTGCTCCCAGTTTTGCTGTCTGCTCAGGGCCAGGTGCTCTTGAGATTCTTGTCCCGGGAAGTGAGGATGGCATGAGGTTTCTTTCCCTCTAGACCTGCCATTATATCCCCTTCACAGCAGGAGCCCATCATGAGGAGGCTGACTCAGTTACTGGGGTCAGATTTAGTGGCTGTCCAAGATCCCCTGGTGAATAGTCTCTTCATCAATCCTGCAGTCACCCCAGGCCTCCTCAAGTGGAGGGCCATGGTCCCTGCAGAAGGGTCTCTGTATTATGGAAAACAAAATGCCCTGATAAACGTGGTGAAGGCACATTTGCCAGCCGGTATGGCCTCCACGCTGTCTGGGGCGATCGTTTTGTCATGGAGCTGGAGGACCAGGGCTCTTCGGGGAGGTTTGTCATGCCCCTCTCCTGCCCAAGAAATCCACCTCTGAAGCCGGCCATGGGAAGTGGGTGCCAGCTGTGATGTGCTGGTGCTGAAGCTGACAAAGGGGCCTAAAACCAGAACTGGGATGGCAGCACTGCTGGGAAGTCAGGCGTCCAGACAGCAGCCCTGCTGGCGTCCTGCAGACTTGACCTTAGACAAATCACTTCCCCCTCTGTGGCCCTTGGATTGGAGTTGACGAAGTGGCCAGTGGGGTGTCTTCTGTTCTCACAAAAGAGAGTAAGCATGTGCACGTGAATGTGCTTTGTCTTCTCCCCTGAACTTGGCACCTACTCTGGCTTGTTTGCTATTTAATTATGTGCTGCTTCAAGAGCCATCTTACTTTCCTGTGTGTCTCCCCAGAAACGGGGACTGACAGCCTCTTCTATCACCTCCCCCACATGTGGCCTTCTTGGCACAGGGCTGGGTGCACAGTAGGTGGGTGCCCCGCAAGTGCTTATTTATGATTTGAGTAGTTGAGAGTTCAACCAGCAATGTCCTTCAAGGCAGAGCCCAGGCAGAGGAGTGCCCACTGGGTAATGCTCCACAGACAGAATTCCATCACTTCTGTTTAGCTACACTTGGGCACAGCCCCAGAACCATGCTGCCTGGGTCCTGAGTCTCTGAATGGGACCCAGCATGGGGGCTAGCAGCCAAACCACCCATCTCCGGGCCTCATGGGGCTCCCTCCTCTCTCCTCCACAGGACAGCTCTCCTACAGGCACGCCCCCGGCTGCTCCTCCCTGTGCAAAGCCTCGTGTGCCTGGCAGCCTTCGGTCTGGCCCTGCCGCTGGCCATCAGCCTCTTCCCGCAGATGTCAGAGGTCAGTAGAGAGGGGCTCAAGAGCAGGGCTGAGGGAGCCATTTGGTGACTTATGTACAAATCCTTACTTGGCACTGATTCCTCAGCACTGTACTAGGCACTGGGGCTAGAATCATGGGTGGGACTGGCCCAGGCTTTGATCTCTCAGGGTTGCAGTTTAAGAGTCAACACAACAATTAAGCAGAGGCGAGCAGATGGGAGAAGCTCAGCCAGATATGAGAGGACAGAAAACCAAACCAAGCCTAGAGGGAAGCGGCATTTCACCGGGGCCTGGAGCATGGCCTGGAGTTGGCCAGAAGACATGCCAGGAGGGGTAGCACGAGGGCTGGGGACAGCTGGTGTGACGGTTCTGAGGTGGTTAAAGTCTGCAGCGTGAGTAGAGGGTGCCTTGAGGTAAGGGTGGGGGGAGGTGATGTTGGAAACTTCAAGCCGAAGCAGAGAGGATGAATGTCATTCTAAGGGCTGTGCAAAGCAGGACTGCAGATTCCCGATTTTGAACGGTTCCCGTGGCTGCATCGTGAGGCTGGGTTGGAGCTCTGGAGAAGAAGGAACCATCAGGAGGCTGTGGCGGGCATCCAGTGAGCGATGATGGCGGCTTGGACCAGGCTGTTGGCAGTGGGCATGGAGCGAAGTGGCTCCTTAAAGAGGGAGTTAGGAGGCAGCCTCGTCAGGATCCGAGGGAGCTGCCTGTGGTGGGAGGGAGAGGGAGCTGCTAGGAGATGCGCCCAGCTCTCTGGATTTATGGTAGGTACTGCTTTGTGGGATGGAGCCACATGGAGAGGTGGGTCTGAGGAAGAGCCGCAAGTCCCTTGGACGGACACGTGAGATGTGAGAGGGTGGTGGGACATGCCTGTGTCCTGTGGGAAGTGGGCTCCGGGTCTGGAATCCGAGAGAAAGTTCCCAGCTGGAGGGACAGAAATAGAGACCACCAGCATCAAAAACAGTTCTGTAAGTGATAATGGTGGATGACAGTGGTGGACAGTGGGGGTGTCCAAGGACAAGTGGCCAGGGAGGTGAGAGCAGAGCCAGGCCAAGTGGGATCAGGGACTGGGTGGGCCATCCACAGGGCCAGACCCTCCCCAGAGGCCAAACTCCATGGGGTTAAAGAGCATCCAGTGGTGTCTCAGACAACACAGGCAAACCCTGTCCCCAAGGGGCGAGACCCAGGTGATAGGTGAGGCTCGGTATCAAGGAAAGAAAGAGAAATAGGCCAGCAGCTGGAACAAGATGTGGGATCAAGAGAGGCATTCATTTATTCGTGTTTCCTTTTTTTTAAGTGGGAGAGACTGGAGTTTGTGTAGATGCAAAGGGAAGGAACTAGGAGATAAGTTGGGGACATTGAGAGGAGGAGGTTGGGGGAGCAAAGCTCATGAAGAGGAGAGGGGACCAGAGCCCAGAGGGGAGGATTGGCCTTGGTAGGGGAGAGCCCCCTCCTTGCTTCAGTGGGCAGAAGAGAAGTAGGGGCTTTGGAGGTGGGCAGATGTGCTGGTGGTAGGCTCAGTGGTGGGCAAAGTGAAGCAGTTGTTCTGGTGGCTTCTGTGTTCTTGTGATTGAGCAGACAGGAGAGAGGAGGGTGGGGAAGGCGAGGTGGTCAGAGGTCTGAGGACAACAGATAAGGTGTGAGACATCCAGAGGACAGAATGAGAGACAGGACCAGGGTAGTCAGGGGAGCCTGGTGGGTGGTACCAAGGGAAAGGAGGCTGAGGGCACACATGGTCTTTGGGCATGACCAGGACCTGTCCACCAGGAAGTGCTGAGGACCAGTGCAGGGAGGGCCACATATCCTCTCTGCTGGGGTTTCGTCAGGTCGGGAGTGGGGGGAGATTTGGGAGCCGAGTAATAGAAGAGAGGAGTAGAGGACCATGGAATCCCAGCTGGACTGGAGTGAAGGCAGGCGGTGAGCTGAACCAGAGGAGCAGACCCAAGGGGGCAAAGAATGATGGAGGTGTTTGCAGTAACTGAGCTTGTGAGTAGACCAGGCTGAGGCCAGAGAGGGGTGCCTCTGCATCTGTGACTTCAGGACTGACCCTGCTTCAGGTAGGGCCCCGATACGTGGTGGGTGGGGTGAGGGTTCCAGGAGAGAAGTTGGGGAAAATGAAAATAAGGAGCCAGGGTTGTTGGGGCCATGAGGGCTGGAGACTCAGGGTCTTAGAGTGGGAGGGCTGACCCACCTTAGCCCCTGAGGTCTCTGGAGGGTGAGTACTGGGGTCGCTTCCCTTCAGAGCCCCAGAGCTCGAGGAGGAGACTCTGGAGGGGTGGGGCTCCTGTCTTGGGGGACATATCCGAAGGACACAAGGACCCTCATCTTGTACCCACAGGGCCCAGCCTGTCATGGAGACTGGGATACTCCTGCCACCTGCCTTTCCCCCAAAGCTGCAGCCTGAGAACTCCAAATGGAGCTGAGGGCTCCATGTTGCCTAGAAGTCCTGAGGATGGGCCGGAGGGTGTTACTTAGTGGTCTCAGCCATCCCCATCCCTGAAGGGCTAGGGCTGGCACTCCCTGAACCACCACATCCACCCGTGCAATCAGCCTGAGCCTGAGGTTCTAGGCCCCGGTCAGAGTCACATGGGCTTGTCACTGTGCTCAGAGCTTCAAGTGGCTTTCATACCCCCTCCCCCACCTACACAGGAGTGGGTCCCAGGGCAGAGAAAACCCACAACACAGAATCAGAGACCATCCTAGTTAGAAGGATTTTCAAGGTCTAGTTTACTATGCTCTTGGCTCTGCTGAGGAAATGAAGGCCAGAGCAGCCACAGGGCTGACCCAAGGTCCCAGGAGCAGGTGCTGATGGGGGAGAAAACCCAGAGGTGCACCCTCCAAGTCCAGGGCCCTAGGAAATGCTGCATCTGATTATTTTCTGTGGCAAGTTTTCTTTCCTCACTCAACCGCCTTGCCTACCCTGGGGCAGACAAGAGAAGAGGGAACTGGGTGCACTGTGTTGGGGGAGGGTCTAGAAGCTCTGTGGGCAGGTGTTCCTCTGGGGCCAATAATGGAGAGATGACCACTGTTTACCCACCAGGACTCCAGCTCTGGCTGCAGAATGGTGGTTGAAAGCGAGCCACCCTGGCTTCACAAAGGCTGCAGGTCAAAACCCAGCCTCCCCTCTTGCCCATGCCTGCCTCAAATCAACATTTAGTTCATTCTTCTGGCATCTAACCAGAGTCCCTCTTACTGCAACCCAAGCCTCTTTCTCTAGATTAGGAATAGTATAGCCATTGCATAATAAGTCTTTCTCATAGCCGGGCACAGAGTTTTGTCTGCTCTTCTCAAATTAGTAACTCTGCCTGTAATCCCGTCCCTTTAGGAGGCTGAGGTGAGTGGATTGCCTGAGCCTGTGGGTTCGAGAACCGCCTGGGCAACTTGGCGAGATCTCATCTCTACAATAAATCAAAAATTAGCCAGGTGTGGTAGCGCGCACCTGTAGTTCCAGCTGCTTGGAAGGCCGAGGTGGAAGGATCGCTGGAGTCCAGCAGGTCGACGCTGCGGTGGCCGGGAGCGGCCACTGCACTCCAGTCTGGGTGACAGAGTGAGACTCCAACTCAAAAAAAAAAAATAAGTCTTTCTCCTCTGGGAAAGGAAGTGAGGGCAAGATTTTCAGAGCTCCCTCCTCAGCTGCATGGACCCCAAACAGGGTATAGGCTGGCACGGGCATTATGAGGTGTTTTGAGGCCTGTCTGTGACCCATGGCACAAGGTCTCCAACCAACTGACTGAGAGGACCTTGTTACCCTCACTCACCCTCCCAAGTAATTCTTTCTAACAAGGTGCACTTTCTACCATACGGGGATCATGCCTCACATCCCAGGAGCCAGTGGGATTTGTCACAATAAGTCTGGACTTGCTTGGGCTAACCTAACCTTGCCAAAAGTCACCAAGATTGTCAACAGAAGTAACTGCTGGAACACTAATTAATTAATTATGGGACTTGGAGACAGAGTTCCTAGAGTGACTGGCCTGCAGTGATTGGTATGAGGTTTCCAACTCACTAACCCCAGAGGTTGAGGCAAGGACTTCAATCCCCCTTCAATTCCTGAGAGAGTTTTGTCTGCTCTTCTCAAATTAGTAACTCTGCCTATTAAAATGGTACTGAGAGTCAAGTTGCAAATAATAATAATCATGGGCACCATTTACTAAGCATCTACTGGACCAGGCAGCATGCTGGGAATGCTTCATGCTTTATTGCCCCAGGTCCCCCTAATGTCTTTCAAGCCCAAAGCAGTATTGAATGTCAAGGGCTGTTTCCCAGACATCCAGATGCATGAATCTGCAGCTTTGGGGAGAAATATTTGGCTGGAGATACGGAACCTTCAGCGCATGGGGGGAATTGAAGTTGAGGAAGGAGGTGAGGTCACTGTGGGAGGAAGAAAAGCCATCAAGAGACAGAAGGAGTAGCCAAGGGCGGGAGGGGGAACAGGCTGAAGTGGCTTCATGGAAGCCCAGGGCAACTCAAGGAGGGGTCCAGAAGGAGAGGATGAGACTTGGCGACTAGGTGATGTCACGAGACAGGGCCATCTACTGGGTGAAATGGCAGTCAATTTCTTCTCTGTCCAGAGAAGTGAGCTCAGGAGTGGGGGCTATGGAGGAACAGCAAAGAAACTGTGAGGTGGGGGGTGGGGGTTTGGAGAGAGGGCCGTGATGGGGAAGGGATGCCCACAGGCCAAGGTGGGAAGGCATGGCCTCGTGGACTCCCTGGATCCAGTGACGAGGGACCTAGTTGGCTGTGGCGGGGAAACAGGAGCCCAGAACCTGACAGTCCTCCCAACAGGGGGGGCCAATATTCCTTGTTCAGAAATGAGGAAGCTGAGGCACTTTAAGATGAAGCACTTTGCCCAAGGTCCAGAGTTGGAAATGATGGAGGAGGCTTTGGATTCTATAGCCCTCCCCAGCCTGCCCACACCTCATGAGAAAAAGAGGAGGCCCAAGTCTGAGAGCCAGACTTCTCGCTGCTAACAAGGAGCAGCATCCCAGTGCCCTCTTCCAGCCCACTTTTCCTTCACAGGG